GCTGCCGTTGGGGCTGGAGGTGATGAGCTACAGGACAGAAAATTCAGGGCATCAGGTAGTGCATGTCCTTATAAAACCAGCCAATTCACCCCATCTTTTATTCTTCATGGCATTGAAGTCATTAAGTGCCTAGAAACTTACCTGCAGCAGGCATAGCTGCTGAATATTGCTGTCTTGACAAGAATATAGGTATTCATCTGACTAAGCTTGCCTCCAGTTAAGGGAAGTAATGCAATATGAGTAATTGAATGGATTGAAGCCCAGGAAACAGACCGTTCTCCTGAAGTAAAGCAGCAAGTCGTTAGATAAAAAGAATTTGTGTCCTTCTCAGAAACGCTGCAAACCAGCTTCATCCAGTTTCTAAAGATAAATCACTGCTGAATTTAACTTTGAATTTAACTAAGTGCTGGCCAGAACGCTAATGAGTTCAGTGATGCTGAGAGCAAGGGTTTTTGATACCATCACCCCAAATAACATGTAGCCGTAATGATCAGTGAGTCCATAGGCGAGGCATTCCCAAGGGCCTTCGTTACCTAAACTTTGAAATCTTTGTTCATCTTCAGTGTTTAAACTGGGTAGGAAAGTCATATGCGAAATGAGGCAGAAAGAAGCATTGAGGTGAGGCTGTCTCACACGCCGCACCCCTGCTGTCAGTTATTTGGCAGGTCGGGTAACCAGCATTGCAGTGAGTGTGGAAAATGGGAATATTTACAGGAGAAATAAGAGCATCTAAATTGCTGTAAGGATAGTAGCAGTAAGCACACAGCAAAGCGGGGTACTCTGTTACGTCCTTCAGATTTGCTACCAAGTTCTGTGCTATTCTTCCCCAATGGATTTTGTATGTGAGGCGATTTTGATTAGGTCCTCAATCTTGAGTGCTTTTCCTGAGCATTTATCTTTCTGTAGGCCTGGGGAAGAATAACTGTCTGGTTTTAGCCGATAATAGGGAAACTGAAATACCCCTGCTTTTCTTTACCATTGCCCATTTTCCCTGCTTCTCCCAAATTGAACGCAAAACAAAAACCAAGTGTGTATTAGCTTTACAGAAAGACACATAATTCTGGGGGGTTTTTTACACAACAGGACACTTCAAAACTAATCATCTCGTATATGAATTTTATAGAGCCACCATTGCTCATTTTTGTGAGCTGCCCTGTTCCCTTAGTTTGAAATTAAGCGACGAATTTCCAAAAGGCAATAGGATTAAATTTTGAACTGTTACTTTCTGTTGGGCAGGACCTCAGGACAAGAGCTGATGTGCTGACACCTGAATATGTTTGGAGAGAGAAAGAGCTATCTTCCCAGGAGTTTTTCCACCTCCTCTCCCTGTAAATTGCCGGTGGAGTTGTTGTTCTAGCAACACTAATGGCAGTTAGGATCTGAAAGCTCTCAATCAATTAAAGCAGGCAGTCTCCGGCAGCGGGAGATTGCTGCTGGACTGGCTGGCAGCGCATCTTTCCCAAAGTTGTCATTGTCCTTATCCCTATAAACAGAGATTATAAGTAGAATTTTTTTTACAGTGACAGATAAGAACAGTATCTTTTCTTGATGTCTCATGAACCACCTTCGCTTTTAGAACAAAATCTCAACAGTCAGGGATCACTAAGCGTAAAATACAGACACAAAAGGCTTACATCTCTAAATAACAATTAGCAGATCCCTTTTTGCAATAAGCAAAAGGCTTCTTAATGTATCTAGAAATCTATTTAATATTTAATGGACTACTAAATTATTCACAAGTTAAAGTGTTCAACTGTTGCTGTCATTTAAAGAGCAAGTGCCCAGCAGGAGTCTTGCGTGGGGCTTTGTAGATCACTTCAAAGCATAGCATTTGGTTCGTTAAAGAAATGTTACACTTCCAAAGCATAGCATCCAATTTATATTCTGTTAATCCTGACCTGACTAATAAAAAATGCGCTGAGATTTCCTGTGTTGCTTATCTACCTGCTCAGTAAAACTTGGCACCGTCCCACCACAAATTTGGGATCCCAAGTCATCCGGTACTCTGTGAGCTCTGTAAAGTGGGCACACTTGCGGTTTTTTCTACAGTCCTGGGTAACTAAAACAATACGCTTAGTTTTGAGTGTAGTTTATAACAGTGCTCAGCTTTCTGGAATGATATGCATGAACAGGCTGTCTAGAGCTTGACATTGATGTAAATCAGAGTAAACTCCCTAAACCTTGTCAGAAGCTGGGCTCTAGGGTTTTTTGCTTCCTAAGGAAATGTCATCCCTGATCTTCTCATTTCTTCAAGCTTTCCCCACTCAAATAAATTGAAAGTAGAAAAATTACGTTCCCATGATTTGTTTTTGGGTTTTGGTGTCTGCCTGAATCCCTTGAAAACTTTGTTAAAAAGCACTTTTGCAAAGTAAGATAGGAAAACCAAAAATGAGGAAACAGAGGAAGGAAGTTTTCTTCACTTAAAAGCCTCTTTGGCAAGGACCATCTTTCCTACTCTGCATTTTGTAAGCACCTTTTACTACTGGATATTGGCTTGTGCAGTTCCTCAGTCCCATCAGTAATCTACATAAGTTAAACACAGTGAAAGCTTGATTTTATTTTTTTTTATATATATATAAAGCACCTGTCCTCCGTATGCTCCTGCCCCACGGGGCCCATTGACCGTGGTGCCACACGAGGCCATGTGGCCTGAAGAACTTGGTGGCAGTGGTTGGCAGCGCTGGTGTGATGGCTGTACCCAAACAACCATCCTGACTGTTCCCCAGGCAGATTCACCCGTTTGGAGAGGGCAAAGCAGAGGCATCCCCCAGGTCTTTCCTAGCTGCTCTTGGGATTTTGGGGCTGTGGGGAGGAAGCAGCTCTGCTGGGGCTGCCCCAGCAGCAGGGTGGCAGCCCGTGGGCTTGCTCTCCCAGCAAGACCTTTGCTGAGGCATTTGTGAACTTTTTGTCTGTAATGGGAGGGAGAAAAATTCAAGGCTTATCCTGCAAAAGCTTAACTAGCTTGCTGTTGGTTGTAGTGACAGGGAACTCAAAAAGGATACAGTAAAGTGGGCTAGGAATTTCTTACTGGGTGTTCGCCAAGATCTTTTACCAGTGAGAGGAGGATGTGTGTAAGCTAGGATGAGCCTTTCAATTTAAATGCTGATAAGAAACTGCACATTGTTTAGTACTGATTTTCCTCAAGAGTTTAATTCTCTGTTTTATGGACAAGTTTCTTGCCAAGTAGTAATATTTTATCGCTCTGTTTTATAACACAAGCAATCATATACTGCCTAGAAATACAGAGTGTATGTAGCAGAGAGAAGGACTCTAAGTAGCCCTTGCAAAACACCTAGGATGAAGGAGAATGACTGCAGTGTTGTTCACAGGGTCCTGAAGGTAAAGTCTTCTTTAGAAACAACAGAAAGATGGGAAAATGGGGGCATTAATGTCCATCGATCTTCAGCTAATGTCCAGGAATCATTCCCTTGTGTGCTCGTATGTGCCAGCTGACCCTGCTTCCAGAGCACTGATTTCTTTTCAGTCCCCAGAGTTGCTCTTTTTTTTTTTTTTAAAGCTGCTGTGCTGACTCTTCAAAGGGTGCTAGATTTTCATTTGTTGACTTACAGTAGAGTTATCTATCCTTGTCTATTAGTTGCATAGAGAAATTTCTCCATGACTTGTTTCAAAATCGTAACGGCATTATTTCTTACCCTGTGTCTGTTAGGTTTTGGGTAGAAGGAAAATACACTGTTCTGGTACTATTTCAGGTAATTCAGGGGTTGGGGGCTTCCTCAGGCGGTGTGTTTGCTTTATAGATAAGGCCTACGGAAATGGTTACTATTTGGCATTTATCTCTATGAGAAATAGTTCCTTTAAGCACATTCTGCACAAGAGCGGGGAGGCTAATCCCATGCCTCTGACAGAGGGTTATTTTTACATAATTATTTGTCCAGCCCCTCAGTAACGTGATATCAGGAAACGAGAATGATAATGTGGCACTGTGCTAAGCGAATTGTTGGGATTAGAAACTCGATACAGTCTTTTCCTTTATCACAGAAGTATGTTTTCCAGCAGATAGACGTGTTGGATTTTTCCAGCAGTAAGGCACATGATTTATTGCAGACTCACCAATTGCCATGTTTTAGAGTGACAGGTTGGAAAGGGAAGACAAGGAAAGAGGGTGTGCAGAGACACAGTAGGAGATAGCCCAGCCTTACAATCAGGTGAAGAGCCTGCAGGGCTTCTCCCTGCCTCAGTGTCAGCATCTCTTCCCCACAGATTTTTAAGCACATGCTTGGACCTCAGCAGAAATCAGGCAGGAAAATATTGCGAGATAAATACTCTGGAGTGGTATACAGCTGTCATTTGTGGAGCGCAAATTCACTCACAGTCTTTTTTGCCTTCACGCGCATTTTGATCGTGAGGCTAACGTGGGGTTCAGCCTGGTTGTCTCGGGCATCTCATTTACCTCCAAGTGTAAGATGCCACGTGGGTCGGTCCTTCTAAAGCAGATCCCCAGGTTTCCATCCTGAGGCAATGGGGAGCTGGGTTTCTCCTGCTGGCCTCCAGCAGGAAGGTCACTGGGCTCTGGACACTCTCCTGCACTTGGAGGAGCAGGAATCCATCCCGGAGGCTTTCACAGGCAGTTACCTCTGTCTGACGGCGCAGGGAGATGTGGGTTTGTGCTCTGGGAGCATCTGTCTGCTGGATACGTGGCAGTCAAGTGTTCAAGCTAGATTGTTGGATCTCATCTCAAGTGAATATGACTTCCAGTTCCTTCCCGGTGGCAGGTTCTGTCAGAGGCACCCAATGGTGGGGAACCTTGCTCTGCACCATAAGCGGGGTATGGGGTGCAACCTGGAACAAAGTGGGGGTTTTCTCTGTAATGTGTTTTAGACAACACAAGTGCTGCCCGTAGGAAAAGTTGTCTGGTCTGTGCTTTGCATTGGCATGTTTGAATTAATGCTGCTACCTTATTTCAGCACAGCATTGGGAGGCGGAAGGTGAACAAGGCACGTGTATTAAAAGCTGTTTCTGCTCTGGCTTCTGTTTCCCAGGGATATGAAGATGGATGGTGGACGCCAGTGCCATTCTACTGGAGTGTGTCTGAAAGAGATAATTGGTCTTGAAGGTGTGGAGCTTGGAGCGGATGGGAAGGTGGGGATGCTTCGGTTCCTACTCCCTCAGATTTTATGTAATAAGGGAAAAAATGGCTTAACTAATAACAAGCACAAATATAAATTACGACATGCAGTGTAACACAGTCGTTAAAGCACAGTATGTGCCAACTGTAAATAAGCTTAGCAGAAATTCAGGAGGACTGCCCAAGCTGTCAATGCAAACAACTCTGTCTCCTTGGAAGAATTTGCCTCTGGCAAAACCTGAGTCTGTAAAGCATTACTGAATTGCGCAGCCTTCCCCTGGCCCTCGCAGGAGGTATCGCTGCAGAGTATATTGTCAGGGGCTTCAGAATAATTTCTGGTGAGAGCTCCAAGCTGTAATTGTGTTTGCTCTCAATTTTATTTAATAAAATAAATTTTGCTTCACAGTATATTTTTCCAAAGAGCAGGAACACAGTAGTACAAAGCTGATGAGTATTTCAAAATCCAAGAGTGCTTTCACTTGGATAGAATAAGCAATTAGGAATCTTTAGGGAAAGTGATGTGTTTTAAATAAATACATAGAGGAGAGACAATTTTAATCATAAATGAAAACATTTTTTGCTGAAAGCCTGATTATTTTTTTTTTCACAGTGCAGTTTAGCCAGTCTGCTGCCATGTATGGATTTAAAGGCCCTAGGTCAATGCTGCTACACATGCTGTGCTCACCTAACCGGGTGTCAAGCCAGACCACAGGCTGTAAATTCCTGAGGGCAATCTGACTGCTTATAAATAAAGGAAAGCTCACATGTTTTATTTGATACCTGTTCTGACCTCCTGGTAAACCAGTATAGAGTCTGAGAGTCTTTTTTTTTTTTTTTTCTTCAATATAATGTTATTTTTGGACAATAAACTTACAAGGTGTAGCCTATTCCTGGCCAAGGGTACAAGCAGAGAATCAGTACGCTCTAAAAATAATTTTGTCACAAGTTACTAATTCACAGTTAGTCCATGTTGGGAGGTAGTAAATGATCTTCCACAACCGTTGCTATAATCTGGAGCTCACTTACAACACCAATAAGACTCTGCCAGACAAAATCCTAAAGGAGAAAAATACCAGAGAAAGTGCTTAAGTTCAGCAGCGTTCAAGTGATTTGTCGCTGGCAGATCTGTGCTGAGGGACCTGGATAGATGATGCTGTTTCAGTAAAGAAGCAGCTGAAATCTGCTGCAGAGAAGGCCCCCTGAAAAAAACCCAACCAAACTGGCGTATTTTTAAATCTGACCCTTGAGTAGGATTTTGTAAATCCAATGTATTAGAGCTTATGTGCGTGTGTGTGTTTGTGGTTTTGTTTTGTTGAAGAATGAATGCCTCTGCAAAAACTTTCTTTGCATGGATAAACCGACTGCATCGAAGCAAATGTAGGTGACTGGTGTTTATTCATCTGTACCTAACTATTAAATCCAGAAAATCCTCCACTACTTTGCTTCCAACTGGGATGCGCCAAAGGCATCCCACTGCAGCTGAGCTGGGCTGAGAGTAACTTGTCTGTCTGTTCTGGCTTTCTTTTTAGACGGTTTCTTATACACAGTTTCTATTTCCCACCAATGCTCTGGGAACTCGGAGAAACACGATAGATTCCACTTCATCCTTCTCCCAATTTCGCAATGCAAGCCATCGTAGCCTTTCTTTGGCAAGAGCTAACAGCACCCAGGGGAGCATTGATGCAGGTAACTTCTCAGGAAGCTTGTTTTAATATCCTTGGGCACCCTGGTGGTAGGCAGTTACTGTGAAGGAGGGATATATGTCGTGGTTTAGCCCCCTGTTTTGCTGAAATTAAGCAAAATATAGTCTCATGTCGTGTGTGAAACACAGCTCATCCCCTGTTTGTTTAGCAAAGCTGGCTTATGGATGATGGAAAGTTAAGTAAACAAGACTGCTGATTATATTGACAGCCCCTGATGGCACGCGGCCTGCCTCCTCATGTCACCAGCGTTGTGTGTTCGTCCGGCATCAGGCTCATTGTTACCTTCCTTTGCTATGGAAAATTAACAGTGGCAACACAGAAGTCATGAGCTGAAGGTGTAAATCATCCTTGTGACCTTTATCAGGCTGGAAAGGGCTGTGTTTACAGAAACAGGCACAAAACATAAACCAAAGCACTATATGCTTAAGATATTTTGGCAAGTTAAATGAAACAAATCAAAACATCTGCATAAGCAGATGAAAACTTGTTGCCAGGAATAAAAGTCATTGTGGAGCTTTATATAATTTTACAGTGCTTTAAGCCCTAAATTCACATTTAGCAGGTGATTCATAAGCTGTAGGTCCTCTGTATCTTTGCAGACTGCATTAGTGTTGAAATAGATTTTTCAAGATTTAGAGAAATCTTTTGACTCCTTCAAAAATCTTGCGTGAAGATCATCTTGTGCATTATCTGTCAACTCATTTGCCACTTCTGTTAAGTCCAGAGATTTCCTGATGTGATGAATTCCTTTCTTACGTTTACTGTTGTTTTATAGGTAGCGACCTGGGAGACTTTGTTGAATACGACCCAAATCTTTTAGATGATCCCCAATGGCCATGTGGCAAACATAAGCGGGTTTTAATATTTCCTTCATATATGGTAAGTGATAAGCAAAATTAGGTGTAGCACAGATAAATTTTGGCAACAATATTTTGAAGGTTGAGGTTACATTGGCCGTATTTTAAGAAGATTATTATTATTTTTAATCTACTAGTAACAGCTGTTTGGAATGCTTTGTTCTAAATGACAGTTACTTACTGGGACGTGTAAAAACAAACTCGTGGAGGTATTATAAAAGTAAATGCCTTTATTACCAGTGTATTTCATAAATGCTTTAGATGAAAGGCTTGTTCGAACAATGAGTTCATTCTCTTGCATTCAGAGGAAAATTTATACTTCCTCTAATTGGCATCTATTACAAAATAGGAGGATGCCCATTAGGGTTTTTGTGAAGTCATGAAGCTGCATTGTGTGTTGATGCTTATCATTCACTCCTTGGAACAGCGCTTTGGTGTCTAGTAGAGCCTTTGTTTCCCAGGTATTTGTTTCACGATGGGATAGTCCTTCCTTTAATTGCAGCAATTACGAGCAGAGCCTGTATATTTTTCACTATACCCAAACCTGTAACAATACAGACACGTAACTGTTCCTTGATCTGTGCTCTAACTCAGTGTTTTCTGTGACGAGTGACTTCTCTCGCCTTTTTTCAGGTGCACCAAGTCTGTAGGCTTTGGTGTGCGATTTTGGCAGGACTGTTGCAAGATGCAGCACTGTTGTATGTGTGCGAGCACGTCTCTGCTCAAATTATACATCCGAAGTAGTAGTAGGCAGCAGGAAAAAGCTTGGTTTTCTTTGTTTCCAAAGTGGTGACCTAGTAGCCTTATCTATATGCCAATAGGAGAGGATTTGAAACGCCGAGGTCTGAAGTGTCATCCATGTCCTCACTTAACTTGGAACAGAAGATACTGTTGAAGAAACTGCTCATGTATGTAAAGATACGGTCTTTGTAGGTTCTCTTCTGCCCCCCACCCTGGTCTTTATTTGATGATAGGGCTCTTTGGTGCTCCTTCTTCAAAATGAATGGATTTTAAAGTGTTTCATGTAGATTGAAGTTTATCTCCTCTCTGGCAGGAGTGTTCTGCCTGTTGCGCAGAGAAGCTTAATTGCGCTCTGAGGCTGTGTTTGTGCTAGATTTTCAAATGGGAAGTCCAGTATGTCGCCTGCTTACTTTCAGACAGTTTTACTTTTAGGGTTGGCAAGTTATTTTTTGGCTGACACCCACAAACTGTCAGCCTTTTATGGCAGCCACATCTGGGTGGGGAAATATTTGTTAGGTTTGGATATGGTTATTGTCATGGACAGGGAACTGTCTTCCCTCAAAGACGTTGTTAAATGGCATCCAAAGTGAACATAGCTTTAGCAGTCATGGTTGTGTTTCTAACCTTCCTCAGGCTGCAAATGTGCTCCAGGCAATGCGAGTCCTCAAGGATCACCTGAGATCTTTGTTCTCTTTTCAATTTAGTGTTGATTTGGACATGTTGGGTGAGTTAAAATTGAACAGCCAGGATAGCGTCCGGCAGGGGAGGTCTCTGCCCAGGAGTGGGTGTTTGATGCCCTTCTTTCCCATATACTGGTTAACCACAGCATTTTTAGGTCTGTATTTGTACTTTTATTGCAAAAAGGAGCTGTCTGGGATTTCCACTGTGACAGAGGTATGACTGGGTACTTTAAATGTGAAAAATGGACTTCAAGGGCAATTGTTAAAATCAGTGTCATTGTTTTCTAGGATATATCTGCATTGACAGGGGTTTCCCTGCTTTTTCATTTTCTCTAGTGGTTAATTACTGCTGTGTCTGGAAAAATGTCTTATTTGACATTTGGGGGGTTTTCTCCTGAAATTGACTTCCAGCCGTCACTTCTTCAGCGCAGCCTGAAGGTCTGCAGCAGCCCCGTCTCCCTCTCTGAAGGCAGGCACTGGTCTAAGGAAGGGCTGAAGGACACGAAGTGCTGTGTTTCTTTTGTTGGTCAGAATCACAGGCACGTGCCAAGAGCTGTCCTGTTCAAGGATTTCACCTGGCCCTTGTCGAAGCAGCATAGCTGTGATGCCGTGCGGGAGCTGCCCAGCTTTGCAAGGAATGGAA